AACAATTGAACGAATAGCACATACACCACCAAGAAGAATTGAGACAGAAATCTTTAAATATTATTATTTTGTTTTGACTTCGAAAGATTTTGCATTTTTTATGTATTTTACATTGAATTCTATTCTTCATTACATCCTATATTCCATTCCACTATACCACAGACCAATTGCTCTCACTGCCCCGGGCAGTGCTCTTATCAGTGACGATTTGCGCGCGGTAGTTTTGAAATTTTCATGCAGCCAGTGGCGCCATCTAAAAGAGCAGTGGACCAAGCAGTGCACAGCTTGAGCGAATTTTTCTACGAAAAGCGAAATGGTGGTTGTCTTGGCTAAATAAAATGTTTGTGTCCGCAACAAAAACGTTTTTTCAAATTGTTGAATGAATACAAGCCGAAAATACCCGTTCTTGTCAAAGAATGTTTTGTTGATTCACTTAAAATCAATATATTTAGTTAATATATTAAACGTTTCAAGCGATAAGCTTCTTAAGTAATTAAATAGAACTTCAGATGTATATGATCTGTATAAGATGTCCCGATATTAAAATATACAGTTCCTTTACACCTTTCCATAAGCTTCAACCAATTTAGCGGAAATGAAACAAGAACAAGTCTCACAGATTCTGCAAGACACTTGATTTGTGAATTAATTTGCATTTCTGCTGTGCTCGCTGCTGACAATGAGAATGCAGAAACGAACGCAATGCAGTGGGGATGTGGGAATTTTAAAATGCAGCATTAAACAATAAGCAATCAACACTAATTAACACGCGACCAACAAAACGAGCTGGGAAGCGATGCCCCAACAGTCTGTCCCCATCCATGTCCCCCCATGTGGCGAGAGAGGCGCATAGTTCAAACACTTGACCTCATATTTGAACAACTGCACACAGATACAAAAGGCAGACACACAGACACAGAGATCTGCAGAGATCTTTTTGGTAAAGGTAAAGCCTTTTGTTAGAAAATATACCTGCAATCAGAGAGAGAGAGAGCGAGAGAGAGAGCGAGAGAGAGTCGAGTTAAACAAGGCAAAGGCCTATAGTATGTTCGACAGAAGGTGAGGCACTGCGAAAGAGCAGCCTCTTCTTGGCAGCCAAACCTGTTTTCACAAAAATAGAACTGGAGAAAAAGAGATATAACATACAGGAACGGCCCCATCTTCCATTTAATATACCTTGGATTGTATATCCATGGAACTCCGGCTTGGTTGGGGATTGCTTGAGCGTCAGTTTGCGGCTGGAGTTACTAACGATCGGTACACAAAACATTCGTGGTGCTAACTAGCTATATCCCCCGATGGGTTGTTCCACTCAAATGAATGCATAACAAATCCCAATTAAAGTTTATAATTAATAACCAAAGAGTTCGCGGGGTCGGTCTGTGAAAAGTTGAAAGTGCCTCCGCTCCACTCCACTCCAAACTCTACTCTAACAGCGAATCAATCTCGTTTGTATCTGTGTTCCAAAGTGAGTGTCGGTGTGTGCGCGTGTGTGTGCGACTGTGGAGTGTGGAGTGCATCTGTGAGAGTGGAGTGTACCTTCAAGGTATCTAAGCATCTACACTGGGTCTGTCCGTCTGCCTGCTGGAGTCGCAGTTGGAGCTGGGACCTGGGGACTGGAGTTGAAGTTGGAAACTCGTTTTTTCAAAAAGTCTGCACAAAACAAGAAAATAAAGCGCGCGCGCGCGCGAGAGAGCTACTACGAAAAAAATAAAAATAAAATAATAATAAGAAAAGCAAAAGCAGATCCGATCCCCAGGCAGAGGCCGAGGCAGAGGCAGAGGCAGAAGCAGAGTCCGACTAAGAGCCAGAACCATCGCCAAAAGTATCTGACAGATACCGAAGAGAGGCAGGCAGGGATTTGGCTGCTGCTGGTGCTGCTGCTCGCCCTTCTGCATTCTTTTTGCTTGTTTATTTAATTTTCGTGTGCTGTGCAGTGCTGGGCTGTGCTGCTTCACTTGTTGCAGCTGCACACAGATACTCAGATACATCTGTGCGCCATAGATACAGATACAGTGCCACAGCGACTGTGCGGAAAACCAGAAAACCTGTTCCGCGCCGTGTGTCCCCGAGTGTCCCGTGTATCCCATGTATCCCATGTATCCCGTGTGCCCGAGTGAGTGCCTGTGTACATCGGAATTATTCAAATAAGAAAATCGTCGTCGCTGTCGTCGTCGTTATTGTTCCTCGTCCTGGACCCCAGTCGAAACCCGAAACATTTGCCAACATTTGAAAAGCAGAAAGCCCCCCCAAAAACGAAAAACCAAAAACCCGTTTAGTGGTTCTCTCGGGGGCCACACAAATGTACAACAACGATGGCCACATTGGGCCTGTCAAAAGTCTTCATACTGGATAAATATTTTACGGAATTGCAAAAATTTTGGGAGACGGAGAAGAAGCTGCAGGGTAAGTGAGATATTAGTCCTGGGAATTGGCCAGGTGCAAATGAGGGAAGGAAAATCTGCCCAAGAGTTGGGCGTCCAAGTCCAACCAAGTTTGTGGCCTAAGTCTTTTGTAATGGAAGGACGTATTTCTGTATTTCCAAAATATACACTGATCTTTAAGCTCTTTTGCCGAATCTTTTGATGAACTTCCCTTCTGTTATGTCTATGTTCTGGACAATAATTCGCAGCTCTCTGTTAATTGCTTTTCGATTTAGTTGTCATTACCATCTTGGGCTTCCAACCACCTCCATGATCATTCTCATATTCATAATTATCCATAGCTATAGCCACCAATCGTACTACTTATATGGATACCTGGCTCTGGCACACACCGCTGTATGGGTGTCGGTTGCCTCGCGACTTGCAACATTTGTGCGAGGCGAGGCGACGCGCCGTGCCGTGCCGCCGCCATCGCCACCGCCACCAACTGGGACTGAGGCTCTCCCCAATCTCCTCCTCTCTCCTCTGTCCTGCACACACACACACACACACTCTGAGTCCCAAACCGGACGGACAGACAGACAGACGGAGAGCCAGACATCGGGCGACCAGTTTTGGGTTAACGCTGTTATTCAGCAGCTTCCAAGAAATTTTCTTGGCAGGCTGCTGCCTCTCGAAACTCTTTTTCTACATGCAAAAAAAGGCAGCCGCAGACATGAAGAATTTCACGAAAGCAAGAAAAGCCAATCAACTGGATGACTAATTAGCATTAACATTTGAATTAGAAACCACCCGAAAAATGTTAAACCTCAACTTTTTCCAAAGATTTACTAACCCAAATAATAACACGATTTGCTGTCACTGAATTATTTAGAAATGCTCAATAAAATGTGAAAAGAGCCAATAGTTGAGGTCCCAACTTCGGTCGGCAGAGCTGTTTCTGTTTCTGTATCTTTTCTGTGGCCTTTGTCTTACTTTTCTTGAGAGTGCAGCTTTAAGCAACTAAAACAAAATCAGAAAAGAAAAAACTAAAACTGGTTTCCCCTGCCAAAGCCTCCAGAGCCATCAATGATATTGTTTTTCTGATTTCTGATTTCGTTGTGGCTTGGCTCTCTGTTTTGGTCCACAGAAATATTGGTAGAAGAAGGAAGGGTTTTGAGTTCGATTCGGTTTTCAGCCTCTTTTTACTCTTTTATGGTGAATGTTTTTCATTAGCCAATTAGTTTGATTTGTTGAATGGATCATGAAAATTAGTGGACAGGTTTCTCAAACAGTTTTGTAGCAGAAAAAAAACTCGTTAGCCTGGTTGAATTTTCTGGGTGTTGGGTGTTACAATGACCTCTGAGCTTTCGTTTAAAGACTCCCATAAATCAGTAGGCCTTCTATTCTGTATTCGGTTTTTGTCAAACTCTTTTGCCCCAGCCGCCGCGCATTCTGTGGGGCTCTATTTTGAGCCGATGCTGGCGAAATTGGTTCATTAACATTTTATTTTATGTTAATCTCCCCTCATCCATATAGATGTATTATCATTACTCTGACTTCTCCAGCGGCACAAGCCCCATGCCCCATGCCCAATGCCCCCTGCCTCATTCCCAATTCGTGTCTTCAGTCTCCGATTCGCGTGCAAGAGCTTTGTCCGGTCAAAGCGAAATTAATTGGTGTGAATTTAGTTTGTGTTTTATTGAGTTGTTAATTATATTTAAACAAATTTCCGCTTGAATAAAATGGAAATTCGCCAAAGCTAAGCCAGCTGATGCGGCTTCTGGCTTTTTTTTTCGTTAAATGTATTTATATTGATGGATTGACAACGGGAAAGAAATAAATCATTTGTATCAGTATTTGAAATCACATTACGCAGAAACTTTAGCACCTTGGAAAAACTTTAATGTACCGCAATGTACTACGAAATTCCCCGTTTTAAATAATAAAATAAAATATACAGAAATAGTATATGAATTTCAAAGATAAAATATTACTCCATATTTCATTCAACTTGAAACATATTTCCCAATAATAATAGTTAGAACAGAACAATTGTTATATTTAGAATATTTTAATGGTTATTCGCAGTGAGAAATCACATAGGAGCTTCAAGGAATGGTGCCTCCACAAGAAGAATCAGAAGCAGCAGGATATGAAAGGCACTTCCAGCATCCAATCGCCCTTGTTGAGGAGTACTCATCATTTGTTCTGCATCTCTATCGCTTGATTAAATAATCTTTGCATTGATTTATGTGTTATCTATTCGCCAAGGGACTTTAAGTTTCTTAACTGGCTAAGGATCCACCTGTCTCCAGTCGAATGCTTCCCAGCTTTGGAAATTTCCACGATATATGTACATATAGTTTTGTAAAAGTTACATATATGTCTATTGACTGAATACTGGGTATAAACGTACAGCTGCGTCCCTTGCCGCTCTCCTCAACCGCACGATGGCAACGGGATAGAATAGTTCATCGGCATGAGTACAAATTTGAAAAATGTTCAAGATTGCCCGTCAGAATTTTCAAACATAGTTAGTTAGTTATAACTTTTCAACACAAGTAGTTCGTTAGAGTTTCGTTTCAAGCATTGTTTTAGTTACTCTGAACACAACAACACACAATTTACTATTTTACTATTTTACACACGAAAATACATATAATACACTCAAATGGGGTCGTCCGTAGATATTCCGGAGGTGGATATGCTAAGTGTGTCCAAGAGCTCAGAGGTGGAGCGTCGAGCGATTCTGGGCTTCGCTCCTCGTATTAATCTGGTGACCGTGGACTACGGGGATCTGGAGAAAATCGACACCTTCTACTTGGACAGCCAGAGGTATCGCGACTACTACCGGGACCCCTACGACAAGCTGCCGAAACCGGAACGATTCAAATACCACCAGGGAAAATGTGGCATTAAGCTGGATCACAGTGTGGAGCAGATGCGACGCCCCATCAGTTGGGTTGAGGAGCGCAAGCCTGTGGTGTATCCGTTGAAATATGGCACCCCAATGAGACTGGGGACATCGGCGGCATCCATGATGCGGGGCCGCTACGATCTCGGCAGCTGCATCCGCTACAAACGCTAGATAGACTCTCGAGACCACGAGATTTCTGTTGCTTTCCCAGAGGATCCTAGTTCTCACACAGCATCTGATATCCGGCAAAGGATCGGATCTAAGTGCCGAGTAGGCTTCACTGTAAAAGCACTAGTAAATCAAATAGTCAATAAAATTTATGTATTGCCTGAAGAGCTTCAAATATATTTAAATGGGGGAAGAACAGATTTATTGTCAATCGAATTGGTAGACATGTATATTCCTCCATATCGAACAGCTGATGGCAAATGATCTAGAGTTTCCCCGCTAATAGAGCGTATTTTTTCTTCATATTTCAGATGCTTCATCATCCAACGAGGCAGTGCATCTGCAACAGCGACTCAAGAGCCTGAGCACTGAGCTGGTGACGCTGCGCAATCGATTGCATGTGGGCCAGGGTCAAGGACAGGCACAAGGTCAGAGCAATGGCGGCCAGAATCACGGCTCCACCGGGAGTGGCGGCGGGGCCAATGTGGGTCCCAAGGCCAACAACTTTGACCTGAATGCATCCAGTCCGAATCTGAATCTAAGCTCCGGAGGAGCCGGCCTCTCGGCCAGTGCCCTGCAACAGCATACCAATGGCCACCACACAGTGTCCAAGGTAAGTGAACCACATGGAAAATGGAAATGTGACATAAATGAGGAGTAACACTTTTGTGTTCTTTGCCCCTGAAACAGCATTCGCACAACTTTAGCCATACTCTGCCGGCCAATGCGGGCTCTGGGACGGTGGTGTCGGCGCGAAACACATCGATTCCACACCCACTGCCGCATCAGTTGGGCGAGAAGACGGCCTTGTCGCACCATCAGAGCCATGGAGCGTCGACTGGCACGCTACCCCACATGAGCAGCATGGGAAACATCCTCGGCCATGGTTCCCACTCGCACTCGCACTCGCACTCCAACTCCCATTCCCACTCCAATTCCAACACGCTGCCGATGCGCTCCTCCAACTCCAACGGAATGGGAGCGGCGGCGATATCGAACGGAGGAGGAGGAGGAGGAGGAGCTGGATCCCAGCATCAGTATTCGCATGGCCATGGCCAGCAGTTGCCATTCATACCCGGACCGAAGCATGCGAATCCTTGCCAGAGCGTGAAAACCCTACCATTTGGCTTTGGGTTCGCGCCCCATCCATCCGCCATGGGTCACCAACAGAGGTTGCAGCAGGTCAGCGTGTTGCCAAAATTGGCGCAGGACATGCAGGACCTGATTCATCTGCCCGGACCCCTCACCGAGCATGCCGTAATGCGTACGCTCGAGGCCCGCTTCAACGAGCAGCGGTACTTTGTAAGTATCCAGACAGTAACCGCCTCTTAAATACGCTCTTATGCCACGCCAGTCCCAGCGACACTCCCAGAGATAGAGCCAGAAACCGGTCTCACAGGCGCACTCAGAGACATACTCGTACTATGTACGGGTCCCCCTGCAATTACTGTGATAGTTTGTCATTAACTTTAACTCCGTTTGCACTCAGCCCCTCAGAGATTACCTGCTAATTTCGACAATTATATATCGTCTTGCAAATGGCGAAGGAAGTCCCTCTCTCTCTCTAATCGATCTGAAACGGTCCATCCATCCGTATGTGAGGATGAGGTGTGAGCACACATATCACAGGTGTTGAGATCGGGTTTTAGTTTATTAGCAAAACTATCGCCTTGGCAGTAGACGATCTACGTATCCAAATGAGAGATTTAGAAACTCTAAACAACAAGGAATATGCTTTATCATACTTATTCCCAAAGTTATTAAGTGGAAGTATCATCATAATAATAATTAATATCTATTTCCAATTATCTTGCGACCATCTTTCAGACAAATGTGGGACCTATATTGCTCTCCATCAATCCCTATCTGGATGTGGGCAATCCTCTTACACTCACCTCCACACGGTCCATGCCCCTGGCACCCCAACTGCAGAAGATCGTCCAGGAGGCAGTGCGTCAGCAGAGCGAGACCGGCTATCCGCAGGCCATCATCCTGTCGGGCACCTCGGGAGCCGGAAAGACAGCTAATGCTATGCTGATGCTCCGCCAGTTGTTCGCCATTGCTGGCGGTGGACCAGAGACGGATGCCTTCAAGCATTTAGCAGCTGCGTTTACGGTGCTTCGGTCCCTCGGCTCGGCCAAGACCACCACCAACTCCGAGTCGAGTCGCATCGGCCAGTTCATCGAGGTCCAGGTGACGGATGGGGCTCTCTATCGCACCAAAATCCACTGTTATTTCCTGGACCAGACGCGTGTCATCCGCCCCCTGCCCAAGGAGAAGAACTATCATATTTTCTACCAACTGCTGGCGGGACTCAATCGGGAGGAGCGCCAGAAGCTTCATTTGGAGGGTTACTCCCCCTCGAATCTGCGCTACCTTCGCGGCGAACCGAACTACCAGAACGAGCAGGAGGATGCGGTGCGCTTTCAGGCCTGGAAGACGTGCCTTGGCATATTGGGTATACCGTTTCTGGATGTGGTACGGGTTCTGGCCGCCGTCCTGCTGCTGGGAAATGTTCAGTTTATCGACGGTGGGGTGAGTAATATTCCATTTGTCTATCCCAATTGAACACGTCTTGGGTTGTCCGATTTATATCAAATATGTCCGATTTTTTTAATGATTTGTTACCATTTTGGGGCTAGCTATGGTCCTTAAAAAGTCAATTTTATCCATCTAATTATTTGAATTCTCAGCATCGGGAACTAGCTCCATCTGTTGGTAGTTCTATAGCTTTTGCGTTGTGGCGCCATCTATTGTTGCCTTTAACGCTGGTCTGTATTTCGTGTTAAGACAAATCATCCACGATGCCACGTTGGTGCCTTGGCTAGAGCATTGGTTCGTTAGCCGAGAATCTATCGGCTCGAGTCCCGCTCTGAACCACAGTCCCAAAATATTTTTAAGATTTCTTGCGCTGATGTTTTAGTGGTAATTTACGTCTGAAATTAAATCATGTTCGATACCGAGACTTTTGCTGAGCGAGAAATTATTTTTAGTCAACCTAAAATATACTTAAATTTTGCAGGGTCTTGAGGTGGATGTCAAGGGTGAAACGGAGCTGAATTCGGTGGCCAGTCTTTTGGGCGTACCTCCAGCCGCTCTCTTCCGTGGCCTCACCACCCGCACACACAATGTCCGGGGGCAGTTGGTCAAGTCCGTGTGTGGGGATGGAGATGCCAACATGACGAGGGATTGCCTGGCCAAGGCTCTCTACTGCCGTACGGTGGCCACGATTGTGCGTCGGGCGAATAGCCTGAAGCGTCTGGGCTCCACTTTGGGAACCCTGAGCTCCGATTCGAACGAATCCGTGCACAATCAGGCGGATGCGGCCTCGCAGCATGCCTCCACCATTGGCGGTGGCAACGCTGGCTCCAAGTCGATGGCAGCTCTCAACAATGCAGTGAGGCATGCAACGGATGGTTTCATCGGCATATTGGACATGTTTGGGTTCGAGGAACCCGCGCCGCACGCCCAGCTGGAGCACCTGTGCATCAACCTGTGCGCGGAGACAATGCAGCATTTCTACAACACACACATTTTCAAGTCCTCGGTGGAGTCCTGCCGCGACGAGGGCATCGTGTGTGACACCGAGGTGGACTACGTGGACAACGTGCCGTGTATTGATTTGATTTCCTCGCTTCGCACGGGTCTGCTGAGCATGCTGGATGCCGAGTGTTCGGTGCGGGGCACTGCAGAGAGCTATGTGACCAAGCTGAAGGTACAGCATCGCTGCTCCACTCGCCTAGAGACGAAACCCACCGCTGAGCCGCACGATCCGCGGATGTTTCTCATCCGTCACTTTGCCGGCCGTGTGGAGTACGATACCACGGATTTTCTGGACACCAATCGGGATGTGGTGCCGGACGATTTGGTGGCGGTTTTCTACAAACACAGCTGCAACTTTGGCTTTGCCACACATCTCTTTGGCTCAGAGTTGAAGGCGCTCTACGCACAGCAACAGGCGCCGCGAGGTCTCAGCTTCCGCATATCGCCCACCTCCCACTCGGACTTACTCAACGGGGACGAGCCCGTCTCCACGCTGACTCAGGACTTCCACACGCGACTGGACAACCTGCTGCGCACGCTGGTCCATGCCAGGCCCCACTTTGTGCGCTGCATAAGGAGCAATGGAGCCGAGCAGGCAGGCACCTTCGACAGGGCCACCGTTGTCCGGCAGATCAGGTCGCTGCAGGTCCTGGAGACCGTCAACCTGATGGCCTCAGGCTTCCCGCATCGCATGCGATTCAAGCAATTCAATGCCCGCTATAGGATGCTGGCTCCCTTCCGCCTGCTGAGGCGCAGCGAGGACAAAGCTCTAGAGGATTGTCAACTGATCCTGCAGTATGCCATGGAGCAGCCTCCGGTTCTGGATGGCTCTGTGACATTGGCCTGGGCGCCGGGCAAGCGACATGTCTTCCTCAGCGAGGGTATTCGCCAGCATTTGGAGCACCTGCGCACGGAGATACGTCACAAGAGCGCAACCCTCATGCAGGCCACATGGCGGGGCTGGTGGTGGCGCAAGAAGATGGGCAATGGGGTCAAACGCACGCGTATGACCCACCATTTGCCCTCGCCATCGGCCGCACCACTGCCAGTGACCAAACCACCCACCCATTCTCACAATTCCCACAACTCCCAGAGCAAATCGGCATCCACAACGATGGCTGCCTTGGCGGCAGTGGCTGCTGCAGCTCCAACGACAGGTGGGGATCTCTACTTCCCATTTTAATAGAGCTTTCAAGAACTTTCATTCTCTCTTAACAGTGCCACGCCTCTCGGCAAAGTCCACGAATCTCGGGATTGGAGGAACGGTGACCAGGCCAAGACCACAGCCGATTGCTGGGACTCCACCGCCAGATCCGCATGAGAAATGCGACCAGAAGATTATACAGCAAACCTGCAGTCTGTTTGGGCTGGATCTGGTAGGTCCTAATCTTTTTGTTTTATCACTATAAAATTTACCAAATGGTTTCCCAATTATAGGAACGTCCACCGCCAGTGCCACCCTCTCGATCCTATACGATCAGCGGAAATTCGAAGCTGGGATATCCGCAAAGTCGCCTCATGAAGATGAGCTTTCCCGAGGATCCCCCCACAGCTGGGCAATCAGAGTCGCAGCAGCTGAAGAAGGGCGAAACGGTGACGGTGGTGGGGGCCTCCAGCGGCAGGGGACATTTGCTGGTGGAGCACAAGGGTCAGAGCTATCACGTGCCCTTTCAGTACATGGAACTGTCTGTCGGCAATGCTAACGCTAATGGGAGTGCACTTCCTGCCGTACAGGCGAACGGTGTTAAGATCTAAGGGCGAGATGCTCGAAGAAGACTGTACATATTCAATTTTGTAATCTAAGCATTCACACATTAATTTATACAAAACGAAACCCATTTATGCCCCGAGGTGCTCGTTGACGCATTCACGTAGTATTATTTAAAGTGTTTTTTCGATAGGTTGTAGCTTCAATCGCATATACCCACAAGTGCCAATCAAATAAGTTCTTCCATCTATTCCATAAGTGACTATTATAAGTGACTGAGATTACATTTCGGCAGAATTGACAGACCAACAATTACATGATAATCACCTGTACATTTGTACTCCTCTATAGAGGACTTGTATTGGTGTTAAACTTAAGATTCATTACTTCATTCAAATAAAAGAAGCATGCATTGGAAAACGTATATTAAATTCTGTGGGATCTATCAATCAATAACGCATCCAAAACTTAAAAGTTACATTTCAAAAGATAACGTATATTTAGTCGCATATTCGAATCGATATGGTAACGCCTCGTAGGCTCTCCTTAAACTATTGATAACGTATCGGGTGTCTGTTACTACTAACCATACAGTATATACTGTTACTTCAGCCACTAACCATACAGTATATTGTATGACCACTCATGTGGTCAGCCCGCGATATTTGAATCGATATTTGCAAAAAGCTCCTCTAAAGTACGGCTACGACTCGTTATCCCTCCGTTAAATACTGATAACATATCTGTATTTGCCTAAGCAGAAAGAGAGACAGGCTCCTTACCCACACAATACTTTGATTGACTTCGCAAGCAATTCAGAAATTACCTCTAACGGACATCGACGGGCAAGCAGTAGAAAAAAATGGGTGCAACTCGATCGTGGCTCCGATCTGATGAGGTACTGCACCTAAAGGAGGATTTAGCCCAACTCCAAGCAGAACTGGATGCAGCCTACGATATTATCAGTGAGATGGACGATGTACGTGAAACGTACACTTAAAGAAACTATGATATTAACCTCCATCATATTGCAGGACGATATATTGGAAATTCAAAACCAATGGCTGCGCGATGAACTGAAAGAATTCAAAGAAAAATCAGGATGGGAAGATCTTGGAGATGTATCACACAGAAAAATAGGGGAGCGGCAATCTGATCGACATAAGCGTCGCAGATATAGAGAGAATGTGGCCCGCGGCATGCATGGACAGAGTCTGAAAGATTTAGCACTAGAGCGACGATATGGACGGCAATGGGATGGATCGGTTATAGGGGAACTACTCCGATGCTGCAGGGCGGGAGCGGCTCAGAATTGAATCTTTATATTATTTACTATGCACATTCGCACAATTATATACGTTCGACAGTATTAGGTATTAAAAATCTTATCAAATGTACTGTTTCCTCTTCATTTATGCAGGTGATAACGATGGCAAACATTCTTTATTGATCAAACGATTATCAATATTGACTGTAATTTACACAAACGAATGGGAGCGTTGTGAGTCGCAGCTACTGCCGCGACTCTACATTTATACCCGACACCCAGTCAGTATTGCTCCCAAGAGACTGGATAATAAATTTCTTAGAGTCAAACTCGGCTATCGACGCTGGTCAAGAATATATATGTATATTTATGGGGTCGGAAACGCTTCCTTCTGGGCGTTACACACATCCATTTTCCACTCAAATCTAATATACTTCCAAAAATTGATCTAGGTCAATCAACCATTTATTAAAGGTCTTTCAGCAATGACCAGTTGGAAATCCCACTGAATTTTATAATTATTTTTGTATTTGTTTAAAAGATAAAGAAGTTCCTCAATGTGACCGCCTGCGACTATGGCGACAATGCTCGCAAAGTAAATCAATTATCGAATATCGGTATTGATGTGTGATTGCTAGCCAATACTAGCTATGGATCTGTGATCGTTAGCTAATACTATACCGGTTAAACTTTTGAATTCGAATTTAAATTCAAATGCAATTCCTATTTCGTTTTTCTATACGCTCGCTTTAATCTCTTTCTTGTTTCATTAAATGATCCGATACTCATTTTTCCCTATCTGCAAATCCACGTGTAATTATTGGCTTAGAGACGGACCCATCGTTTACAACATGCTGTGCCATTTATTGCACCTCCGAGGACCACTTATCTGTCTGTTCAACGTACACACACTCCGTGCATAAATCAGGGGCATCTAATTCCCCAGCAAATAAATAAATTCAATTGCATTTTCAGCTCCACTCCGTCGTTGAGTGTTTGTGTAAGCGATTTGTAATGCATTTGCTGCTCTGCTCCCCCAAATGGATAAATTGCTATGAGCTCTTGAAATTAGATGGATGAAGCACTTGGGTGAGTCAGGTGAAAGTGTGGTATGGGGTGGAAAATGGTATGAAGTAAATTCGTATCGAATCAAACATTAAATGATGATTATTGAATAGGGTTAATTATAGTTCAAGTAATACTTGCAGGCTGATACTTGGACGTCCCTCCTTCGAAATCAAAGATCTTTGAAATATTTCGGAGTTTCTCTAAATGTAAGACTTTATTTAATCGTGTCCCGACTCCCGTTTTCTTTTATGTATGCAGCATTTTTCCATAGACACAATAGTTGATACAATACAATATATGCAAGTAGAGATTTTTTTGTATATATATACCTTTTTATATATCGCAATAATTGTACGCGTGTTTTGTTTTTGTTGTTATATTTACAATACATTTAAAATTCGCCTGCAGGCCCGATTTAACCGATTCACAAATGATCATGTTAACCGTTCCAGAACCTCTTATGTTTTCGGGGGTCGGATCGGATCTCTGCGTAAATAAACATAATTTCTTGGGGGCTGGGGGCCAAAAAGGGTTTCAAATGTTTTCGTGTGCGTTTCTTTTTTTTCGTGTGGTTATGCGGTTATGTAAGACATACCTAATTAAAGATTTTTTGCGCGAATACATATATACTTCTTGAGTTATTTACTTTATGTATTTCTTTTTGTTAAATATATATTTTTTTAAATTTTTTTTGTAATTTTTTTAGACGAGTCTGAGAGTATAGAGAGAGGAGGAGAGTATTATAGAGAGCAACGCGAGAATAAACCGCTTATAAAATTGAGTTTTGATTTTTGGAGCAACAGTTTAACGTTTTTATTTGGTTGTTCTGGTGTTAATATGTATATATATGTAGATTCCGATATCTTGTAAATATTAATTAATATTATTCAGTAATACTGCACGATCCACATTAAATATATATTTTTATGTATGTACAATGCATAACAAACAAAAAGCAAAACAAACAAAATCCGAAGATGAAGATGAAGTCCTGAAGAATGATGGAAAATTGTGAACTGAAAAATTGGGGAAACTCGTCCACTTATGTTCAGAGGATTCGGTTACTCAGATGTACTCGTATAGAGATTTAGACATCAGTCTCAGAGCGCCGCCTTCGTCCAGGGCCGCCGGCAAAATTGGCCGCAGCCAGACCCATGCGATGCTTTGCCTCCTGGGTGCCCGAATATCCTCGAGCCAGGCCGAAGTCCACAGTTCTCTTCGAACTAAAATCAAAGATGGAGACAGATATGATCTGATATATATATCTGTGGTTGCACGCCTGTCGCCTGCTTACTTCTCCAGGTCGTTGCGGGCCCGTATGATGGTGCGTCCAAAGCGAGTCATCAGCTCCATCAGCAGGTCATCGGGCACCTCCTCCAGTTCGTTGTAGCCAGCGCCGCCGCCGTAGCCTCCTCCTCCATTGCTCTGGCTATTTGGGAGTCAGTCGAATGGAAAATTAGACAGAGTTTTTCTTTGTTTCTGTCGGGGTTTCTGTGTGTCTGTGTATGTGTGTGTATAAATAATTCGCAGGGTCAACAGGATATCTAATTACTTTGGCTCTGTTAAATTTGACATTTGCTGAACGTTCCGTCGTTCATTTGCATGGAAACCCAATTATTTCTATTCAAGAAATTACTAATTAGTCTTCAATGAATTTTTGATAGTTCGTTCTGCCCCATCTTAAGAGGAAAGTGAGCTTCTGGGAATCATAATCTTTTCACTCCCATCAAATTGGTGGGAAGGATTCCTTCTGCCACGAGAATGTGTGTGTCTGTGTGTGTGTGTCTAAGCATTGCTTACAATTTGTGGCGAACAATTTTTTTCTGTCAACGTTTACATTTTGTTAATTGAAAATTGCTCTCGTGTGAGGACTTTAAATGTGCAAAAGACGCTGACAAGACGAGGAAAGTGAGAAGGCTGGGTCCTTCATTTGCTCATATGTGCACGGAAGGTCCTTCCCAGAATTTCCATTTCCCAAAACCGAAATGCACAGCAAACAGTGTCTGGAGCAAACTTCGGGTAATTGCTTTTGGGCAAATATTTTAATAACACAATTTTTTGAGATGGTTTTTTCACACAGCCAAAGTGCCAAGTGCCAGAAATTAATTAGTTCATGTCGCCCGACTAGTATGGGGTCTAGTATGCGATGCAAGGATAATCTACAACTACCTGGGCATTGGTGCTGCCTCGGTGCTCGAGATGGCCAGCAGACACACGGCCAGAAGGGCCACAGCAAAGCAAGCGAATCTGTTTGTCATCATTGTACGGCTGTCTCTCCTGCCAGATCTAAAAATAAACAAGACTTGGGGTTACGTTACACATATACAATGAATTTAAAGCTAAGCGACTTAGACCTAGTCGGAGTACTTGGGTAAACATAATCAGAGACAATTAAAAATCGATTGCTGGGGAAACGACACGAAACGGAAGTGAGACAGTAGACCAGGTTTTCCATTAAGTGATTCATTAACTGCTCAACGAAGCAGGCGACGCAGACAGCAACCCACAGACACACAATCCACACCCAGTCGGCGCAGGAGCCACTCCGGCCCCCACTGCCATTCACATTCGACTCTATCCAATGAGAACTAGTCTTACAGCAAAAGGGCGCTCCACTCCACCATCTCCTACAGTTGGGGAGCTCTTTCCATTCCCTCTGCTGCCCCCGTTTTCCCACACTGGCTGCCAGAAAGTCATTTGCGTCGGCTCCTTGCTAACAGGAGCAATATGAACTGTTGTCTCTGCTCTTTTTTCGCATTGCTCAACTGCACTTCCACTTCCACTTCCACTTCCTGTCATCCAAGCCCCAGTCGGAGGCCCTTTCCCTGTTCTGCCTGCTCCTAAATGTCGTTGCCGCTGTTATGTTTACTGTTGCAAAAGTTTGTGATATCATCGTTGGGGCAGCCTTCGCTTGCCTTTGACAGTCCTGACAGCTCGGGGACAACTTGGGGGACAGCTTCGTCCCGTCCCGGACACACATCATTGCCCACGCAACAGGCTGGACAAATGAATTGACTCTCACTGAGAGTCTGTTGACTTCTGACAGGTCTCACCTCTCATCGCATGGTCGGAATTCATTTGGATCATTTCCATCATTCAGGGTAAACATTTGTCATGGCCATGAATAAGCATCGCACCTCGCTTTAAGTGGCCATAAGTTCCATTGAGAGCTTGAGCAGAAGGAACACTAACATTTCTGCCCATCAAAGACTAAGTGGCTTTAAGTAGCTACAATTCCCACCTAAAAGAACCACCCTATCATCTACAATGTTTCGAAGCCTTTAAACATTTCAAACCTCGAAATTCATTAAGAATATGTAATCACAGATAAGACTGTAACCACAGATTGTAGCCAGCCTTCAGAAGTGCGCACTTTGCAGACATTTCTTCACAGAATTCTTGAGATATTCAAAATCGTTTCTTTATTGATTCGCTGGATCGCTGATGTTTAGGCAACTGGGGCAAAGCCAATGCGGTTGTTGCCCAAATCGAATTCGGTGTAGTACTGGCCAATGAAGACATCGCCCAAGATCCAGAAATCAGTGCCCATGTACTCGAAGGCGGACATGCAGGTGCTGTCCGACTGGATGATGTAGGAGGCAGGGGTCAGGGTGAAGTCAGTACCGCCAATGTTGAAGGTCACATCGGGCAGGGAGCTGACAGTGGAGCAGTCCACATAACCATTATCATCGACATTCAGGATGTCGGTGAGTGTGATGTAGGCATTATAGGGAGCCACAATGAGAGAGGTGCCAGTGTCTGCGATGGCCTGACAATCGGCGCACAAGGAGTTTCCATCGGAGGAGGCGCTGGCCATGGTGAACTGCCAGTATCCTTGCTCGGAGATGGGCACATAGGTGAGGGCTCCGGTGTACAGGGAGGAGTCGGAGCCGCCGAAGATCAGCTCACCGCCATCGCTGGAGGAGCCGGCGCGGGCTAGATAGAAGGAGAACACGGACTGATCTACCAGGCCTTCGGAGACCATGTTGTAGAATACAGGAGCCACGCCATCGACGGCCAGAGACTCGTAGGCCATACCCAGAATACCATCGAAGTTGGCATTGTTGAAGTTCGTGCCCGGTTCGTTGGTCGACTCGGCAAAGGTCTGGCTAGTGACCTTCAGTCCGTTCACGTCGACGGTGTCCTCGGAGAGGTAGCCAGTGAGGCTGCCAGTGCCGTACTGGATGGAGAAGGATTCGCCGTTGGCCACATAGGTGGTGCTGGCACTGGAGTCGTACTGGTTGTGGGTCAGGCACGCGTCGCTCTGGCAGGTGTTCGATGGAACCCACAGGTTGGATGAGCCTGAATCGAACAGCACCTTGAAGCTCTGGGCTGGAGTACCGATGGTGATAGCACCATAGTAGGCCATGTTCATCGAGTTGGAGAGGGTTTCCTCGTTGATATCACGGGGCTGGGGCAGCTGGTACTTGGTGCGCAGGTACGACTTCTCGGCCAGGACATTCTGGCGCGTCTTTACGAAGTTCTGCTCCTTGAGGACGGGCACGCGGTGCAGCTCGGCACTGGCCACTGCCACCAGCACCGCGATCAGAGCGAGGGACTTGATCATCATCTTTCTTTGTTCTTTGTAGTCTACTGGAGTTCGACTAACTGCCAATGGACGGGCCCACATCTAATTTATAGCCCATTGGCAATCAATCACAGACACAAATTTCCATTTCGATAAGATTGGTATAATTCCAGGGAAGCCGCCGAACCACTTGAAAATATGTTCGAACGAGGGGGAACGTTTTGAGTTGCTGCGGAGACCGCAACTCTACATTTATAACCGATACTTAGACAGTATTGCTATCCTCTGGCAGACAGAGAGACCGAGCGAGAAAGAATGAAATTGTTTTCAGACTTTGCACTCTAGAAGATAGTCATCTTTGAAATTGTGGATGCCACATATCTTCGCCCTTTGTGGGGGCGGAGGTGGGCGGGACGATGTTTTGAAATACTATTGTAATACTGACATATCACAGAAGTCTGAATACAAAATGTCGTTGCTCTAGCTCTTATAGTCCCTGAGCACTAAGCGCTCATAGGGACGGACAGGGCTCAATCGACTCGGCTATTGATGCTGATCAAGAATATATATACTTTACGGGGTCGGAAACGATTCCTTCTGGACGTTACAAACATCCATTCTCACCACAAATCTAATATACCCCTATACTCATATTGTGTATCGGGTATAAATATATATGAGATACTTTATCTAGCTATAATTGTAATCCTATTTAGAGGGCGCTTATCAATTCAGGTGTGAATATGAGGTGGTATTTTGCCTATCTATTAGATAATGCAATTCATTCTTAAGATTTGAATCCCTTCCAAATGATTGGACTTTGTTTTGACTTTTTGTTTTGTCAAAATTAATTGCAGGAGTAGTAAATATTTGTGATAATTAAATATTCTACTGTGGTACAAAAATATGTTCGTCATGACACACTATTTTAGGGCTTTACCAGTGATAAAAAAATGTTTACAGCTGATAAGAAAACTTAAGGCCTTCATTATCGTAAAACTGTCAGAAGGTCGTGTGAGCAACCAAGGTTCTCACAGACTGAACTCGGCTGAAGCATAGCCGGATATGGCTGACGGCCGGGCGAACAAAGCGAGGATCAGTCCGGATACCGCGGATATCCGAATGCGGCGAAATGGCCGAGGGCTTCCAGAGAGGATGGGCATCCACTCTCTGAGAGGAGGATGGAGAGGATGGATGGTGGGATCAGGCCGGCAGCGGCCCAACGCATGGCCAAATATGGGATGACGCCACTGCCCCGGTCCCGATGGACCGCGGCGTCTGCCGGAGGAGAGCCATACTGACTAGGTATCGGGTATAAATGTAAAGTTGCGGTCTCCTCGTTTTATTGTAGATATTGAGTATCCAAAAAAAGTTTAAGAACCACTCCGAAAGAAGAACTATTTTAAGGTATCCCTTAAACAGAAAAGTTGCCAATAGCAAATACTTAGGTACCTTTTGCTCTCATTTTTGTCATCCCAAAAACTGAAACAAATATTTTTAGTACCTTTACAAGAAAACTCCAAAAGGAAAAACCTAACCATTCCATTTGGGTGAGGCTGACTAATTGCTTTTAGCCACTTTAGAGGAATTCCATTCCACCTTCTCTGTACGCAAGAAATTCCATTCCAATCAAGCGATTCACTTTATCCATTTTACGAATCCACTCGGCCATAAAAGTACTGGCGGGGCAGATAGAAGCAGCGCAAATGCAGGTTCCTCCACTTGAAGTCCTTAAGTCCTTATTGAAATCAGATTTAAAATCAAACAAAATGTTACTTCAATTGGCAGAACCAACCTAAGGAAGGACGAAGGACAATGGCGATCAATGTGTGATGATTGCCAGAGAAAATGAGGAGAAATGTGGAGCTCTTTGGGTGGGGTTTTTGCGGCTTGCGTTGGGTGGTTAAGCCACAGGTTGATTTCGAAGGGGGCAGGAGACGCACTGCGAGTGTCCTGGCCATCCGCTTATCGCCTGAGTGCTGACCGCACTCCCACAGAAAAAAGGACGACCACAAGGAATGAAGGAATCCACAAACGCGTGAGTACATTGCACACTTTTGGGGACAAATAAAGTAATCAACGGATTTCACGCAACGTTGGGCAATTTCGGTTACCATTCGGTGTGTCCACTGGCACACAGTGCGTATGATTACTGTTTCTGCGGTCACATTTCGTGTGGCAATTATTAGGCGGCGGGCCAGCATCACAGGACAAATGCCATACGGATGGTTGTCCCATCTGCTCTCAGACACTCCAGCTGCAAACCGTTTATCAATCATTTTTGATTTATGGCCTCCAGTTCGCAGTGGATTGGAGTGCATGGCCAGTTGGTAGTTGGTAGTAGCTCCTCCCGGGGCGGCTGGTCCATCCAACTAATCGAACAACGAATCATCCATGTGTGAGTGCACACACACACACCCATATGAATTTTCGATTTATTTTTTATTATTATTTGTTCTCCCTTTTTGCTGTCCGAATGACCCAAAGGCTTAGCCCCCGAGATGCAAATAAAAATTAACCAAATAAATATTTGATAAGCCCTGAATATCCCTGAATAAATTTGTTTGTTTGTTGTGGTTTTTTTTCGGTCAATGAGCAATTTATAGATGACATTCCCGTTCCTGAAAGCTTCACAGTTGACTGACAATCGGAATTAGTTGTCTTCCTGTTCATCCTGGCATCGGGTTTCCTTCCGCTGATTGCATTTTCGCAGCTTGCTCGATGCCCCGCTGCGCGCGATGCACTGACGCGATGCATTTTATGCACTCCGCGTGGAAGTCAGCCAAGTGTCAGGCGATTTAATCGACTAATATATCGCTTCAAGTATGAAATGGGCATTTAGCAGGGAGAGATGAGCCATGGCAAAAGCAAGCTTTCTCAGTGACCTTTGGTGACACTGCAGAAGCGGAAGCACTCTATCAATGACCTTTGAAGATAGTCGAGAAGCCGTAAGGCCTTAGGATGGTGACAAATAAACTAAAGACTAATGAGTTCCTGAGGAAATGCAACAGGCGAATGTCTTTTAATTGAATGAAGGACGCAGAGTAAATAAGAAACTGCAGAGCTCACTTTAAGCGCACCAAAACAATCTATAAAAGTCTCTCAAATAGTTCCAATCCAAGTCTTTCTTGTCTTATACACATTCACATTCTCTTTTTCTTTATAAAATATAAAAGCCTCGGGACACCTTTCTTTTCACATCCTTTTGTGGCTTCTTCGAATCAACAAACCCTCAATACGCAGCTCAACGTCAAGCAGATGTTCCAGGAATCAAAGTATCACAGTCTAATCGGGTATTAGGGTATTACGGTATTAGTATCCTTCTGCTCCAAATGAAATTCGAATTCATCAACAACCTTGGGGGCATATTCAAATCGCTTCAACTGGAATTGGCAAAGCGTTTAACCAAAGTGTTGGAAGTCAGCTTTTGGCCATGGTTTAACCCAAATCAACTGCTGCTTAGTCAGCAAATACATTTGTCTAATGAGATCCTTGGTTATTCGCATACCTCTGGGCGCCACACACTCACGCACACACAGACCGAAAATCCCACCTTGACCAAATGGTCTGGGATTGGGCCAGAGAACTGGGATGGGAAGAGAGATCTGCCTTGGAGACTGGGGGCTGCAGCCTGGACTAAAGTGAAACACGAGAGTCAGACATTGAAATTGCATTGCGTTGATTATGGTGTCCAACAACGAGACACCACCTCCTTCTGGCCCACTCAGGACCGGACCTCTCTGGCCCCTTGGCTTTTGTCGGCTGTCGCACCGCACCGGTGGCCCCGCTGTGTTGGTAACTGAAAACGTACTTATGATTGCCGCCGTGGGAGTGGAAGAGGCAGTGGAAGTGGTAGTCCTTTGGGGGGCGGGAGGTTCACACGAGTGGGTCATAGTTGAAATTGAATTTGGGTCATTCAATCCCAATGCCAGGGCTACACGTTGGCTCCAGGAATGACTCCTTTGCCTACAAAACAATCACAAATACATATGTATATATATGTTGCACGTGCTTTCATTTTGTTGCCCTGTTATGTTGGTCCTTGTGGAAGGCTGATGGCGTTGAGGGAAGGATAGTTTCTATTCTCTAAATACCGTTTCCCATTTATTTCATTGAAATCGTCTTTTCTCTCAGTGTTTAAGGATTGCTTGAAGAGCATAAATTCGTAAAGGTGGTCCTCTGAAATGTCAACAAAATAATTATGGAAAATTATGGAACCACAGTACAGCCAGTACATTAAATTTTCATATACCCAAATGAAAATTGCGTGTACGATGATTGGATGGAGGAGGGGAGGATGGAGATGCCTATCACATCAGGAAGTCGAAAAGGAAGCAGAGGAAAATTCCTCTTGCCCAGTTATAATTGGATGCTTATTGAATTAGTGACAAAGTCGTTGTTGGGATTGGGATTGGAGAGGTCGTACAACCCGCTGTGTGTGTTGCCAGCTGCCCTGCCATTTTAGATATTCATCAAATTATATGTATTCCGTTTGTCAAATTAAGCAAACAACCACAAGATTGATTTGGATTTGTCCTGGCAGACATTTTCTCCCAGCCTTGATTTGCCTCCCGTGATTTGGGATGTGTATCTGCTGGCATCTCTGTGGCATCTTAACTGATTAGTGGACTAAGCCACTGAGTACTAGAGCGAGAGAGAGAGCTAACAAGCTGGCTAAATGTCCACAAACTGACCAAACAATCTTTAGGCATCGCCTTCTACTACTTTGATTGGGAAAATCCCACTCAAGTCTTTTTCGAACACCTAAATTCCAATGAAAGGTTCGCCCGCTCGTAAGTGTCCAATCTTTTAGTGATACCCCAAATGCCAATCGATTAGAGAAATCAACTATAAATCAATGGGGAAATATATATATATATATAGAAATCTGACAATTTGAAGCAGCAAATAAAATATCTTTTAAAGCAAACAATTTATGTCCATCAATCAAAGGCAATAATCTTTCGAAGATAAGATATGATTAACTTGAAAATTAAGTTATAATAACGCGTAATGGTGCCTTGACACTTATTGTTTGAGAGACGATTGGTCTACTCTTC